AATATTCACAGTCATACCCAGCACTGCACAAGAGGTGCTAGGGTCAAACTCAGAGCCTTGCCCATAGAATATTCTCTATCACTTGGTGATGTGTTCTTTTTTTTATTAAATATTTTTATTAGTGAATCACCTTGAGGTAGAGTACAGATTTACAAACTTTCGTGCTTGCATTTCAGTCATACAATGGTTGAGTACCCATCCTTCCACCAGTGCCTATTTTCCACCACCAGTGGACACAGCATCCCTCCCACCACCCCCACCCTATCCCCCACTATCCTGCCCCACCTCTGTGGCAGGGCATTTCCTGTTGCTCTCTCTCTCTCCTTTTGGATGTTGTGGTTTGCAATAGAGGTATTGAGCAGCCATCATGTTCGGTCTCTAGTCTACTTTCAGCATGCAATTTTCAACCCAAATGGGTCCTCCAACATCTTTTTCTCGGTGTTCCCTTCTCTATCTGAGCTGCCTTTTCCCCCAGCATGTGAGGCTGATTTCCAAGCCATAGAGCAGACCTCCTGGTTATCTCTACTACTCTTTGGTGTTATTCTCCCATTCTGTTACTTTAAAAGATTGCACAGATGAGTGCAATCTTTTATGCCTGGTCCTCTCTTTCTGACTCATTTCACTTAACATGATACTTTCCATGTTGATCCACTTATATGCAAATTTCACAACTTTATCTTTTCTAATATGTTCTATCATTTGACTGAACTGCCTGGATCTCTTCAATCTTGCTTACCCCTAAACTTTCCATTGTACTTAAAATCAGCACTTTATAATTTTCATCTTAGTTTTATAATGATCAATATGTTATTTTTAAGAACTCTTCATCTCACAGAATAGGTTACAAAAGATGATAATGACTAATGTGTTGAGCTGTTTTGAGTATTTGATGTGTGTGATTCTGTTGATCCACATTATTATTTTGTGTTGTTATTTTTACTTTACATGTGAGGAAAATGAGATTTAGAGAAGTCTAGGATAGGTGATAGGTGGCAGAAAACTACAGAACTAGAATGCAAATCCAAGCAAAGGCAAGGGGACTTGAGTACTAGGAGTTGATACCCTATCACACCCAATTATTTAATAAACATGATTCGATTGATGTGGCTAACCAGCTTCTTCTAGATAAATGGTTAAATATTAATACCACTTGTGTTCTTATTGTTGTATGACTTTTAAGTTAATAGTAGTAAGTAGATAAGAAAAAATTCATCATGCAAGATCACAGTCCTAGTGCAAAATACTTATAGCAAAGTCACTTATAGCAATAAGTAGACGCTTGGCATCGTATAAGCAAAAGTCAGCTGACTCATACCCATGAAGTGCTATTTTCTTTGACACAGCAGTTTTGTAGCTTTTCTGACTGTGATGCAGCTGGGGCACAGGGAATTAATTTCCTATCTATTTCCAAGAAGCTGTTGGTTAAATGAGTACCTGGATGAAAAGAAAATTATAGCCCAATGTGTGTGTGAAGTGTTTCCTGGAACTTGCCCGCCAGATAAAGAGAATGATAATTTCCCTGAAAAAGTGCCACATCCTGAAGGAAGAGAAAAATCTATTTTAAGTTGTTTTTTGTTTTCATGAGACCACCGGGTATGAAGTTTTAATAAGCAAAGCAAGGCAACTCTACATATTGTCTTATAAGCATTTCTATATGGTCACTAATTCAGAAATTTGGATATTTATAAACAAACTGAATCTTCAACTGTGTCAGTTGAGTTAATGAATAATTTATGAAATTAAATGGAAATCCTTCAGGGCACAGAGAAATTTACCATTATTAAATGGGATTAAACTACGTATGATTCTGAGTTAATCCTTTTCTTTACTCTTACATTTTGTAATTTCAAAAATGTTAACTAAAAAATAGATTCACATCAGGATATCTGAAATCAAAGACAGTTTCTCCATGAACCCTCCAGAATGAAATACTATCAAGTGCTAGCTTTCTTCTAAGAATGTAAGGGTGATATATTAATAGAAATTTCTGAAATGGGAAGAATCAATCACCCTAAAATCTCTGGGGTATCAAATTCCCTAATCATCATTTTGATTATAGCATTACTATTGGACATCTATCTTAATGTGCACAGGATAACTAAGAACATAATTTACAAACTGAGCTACTAATCATAAATTAGCCCAAGAGATAAGTGTTATTTCTGTTAATAGGGCTGGAGAGATAGCAGAGTGGGTAGGGCATGCGGCCAACCCAGGTTTGATTCCTCTGCCCCTCTCAGAGAGCCTAACAAGCTACCGAGAGTATCTCGCCCGCAGGGTAAAGCCTGGCAAGCTCCCCGTGACATATTCTATATGCCAAAAACAGTAACAACAAGTCTCACAATGGAGACATTACTGGACCCGCTCAAGCAAATCAATGAACAACAGGAGGACAGTGACAGTGGCAGTGACAAAAGTAGTTACATATCACCATCTTTCTTTTAGAAATGCATCAGATTTCTGGTAATGATGCAACTTGTAATTCTAGAATCTTCTGCACGTTGTCATTGAAACCTACAATTTGGTTATCTTTTTGCCTCTAAACAGAATTTAGTAGTGATATAATCTACATGGCAAACCAATCTTTTAAATTATTTATATTTTTTTTACTGAAAATATAATTCCAAATTCTTTGATCTGTAAAAGACACTCAGATCTCACTGTTGCTCTCCTTATATTATAGTTTTCCAGTACACTCCACTTGTCAATTAAACTTCAGAAACATTGATCATTAATGACATTCAAACTCTGTAAACTCATTACATTCTGGGAGCTTTTCCTTCATTTTACTTTGACTCAGAATACTGGTCTCTGGACCTTCACATGATCATCTGTGGCTCATCATTCACACCTCAGCTTATGTATCAACTATTTAGAAAAACTTTTTTTGACAATTCTCAGCAAGTGACTTTCTATTTGTTTATTTTTTCTTTTTCAAAGTAAGTACAAATGTCAGAAGTTACTCAATAAATAAGATGTTTAGCTTGTTCATCTTATTATAGTAATAGCTCCTTGATGGAGGGCCCCTCTGTTCCATACAATGTGTTGTTATCAGTCTACCTTGGTGCATAATTGTCAACTTGAACCCCTTATCCCATGTTCATCTGAATTAGTTATCTGCTTAAATTCTACAAGAATAATATTTCTTTTTAAAGATTCAGTTCACTTTATAGCAATAATAGTTTGAGTATTCATGTACATACAACTCGTGTCATAAACTGATTTCTTTTCCTTACTCGCTTTTAAAAAATACTATTTTGTTATGAAAAAAATTGTCACTAAACATGCAAAGTTGATGCTTCTTAAAACTTTAAATTTCCTGGGGCTAGAGCAATAGCACAGCGGGTAGGGCGTTTACCTTGCACACGGCCAACCCGGGTTCGATTCCCAGCATCCCACATGGTCCCTGAGCACCGCCAGGGGTAATTCCTGAGTGCAGAGCCAGGAGTAACCCCTGTGCATCGCCAGGTGTGACCCAAAAAAAGCCAAAAAAAAAACCCTTTAAATTTCCCAGTTTCATTTGAACCCTCAGTTCTGCTTGCCACTCCTCTTAAGTTTTTTTGGTCTATTTCCAAACCCTCCCATCATGGAACAAATTCTTATACATATCACTTTCCTCCTCATCATGTACCTCATGATACACCCCTACAACTTTTATCAGAAGAGCATATTTTCTAGTTGAAAAGAAAAATAGGAGCTCTCTACTTAGAATTCTCAATAATTTTTTTACATTCTCTCCCCAGTAACCAATTCTGAGAAAATTCCTGCTCCCATGTTTCAGAGAAACTTTCTTTCTTCCTTCCTAAAGTAATCTATATTTCTTCTACCCTTGATAATATTTGGTGGCAAAAAAGTCAAAAGATTCTCTCTAAATATAGATTGATTAAAATAACCAACTGTTTACTTTAGATAAAAGCCTAAATACTTTCAAAATCTAAGGTTTTAAATCTTAGATACTGTATACAATCATATTGATTTGAAAGCTTGAATGAGGCATTCAAGACAGTTCAAGAAAGTCTTGGTGGGGGTTGAATGAGATGTTATGTTAAGAACAAAATAATATCTAACTCCCATTTCTATTTTTCAGAATACTCCCTAATTTTTAGTGCATAAAGATTTTTCAAGGTGTTAAGAAATTCCATTACAAGTTTATAGTCTCAATAGTACTCTATGACAAGTGATTCTCATTTATTTTAAAATGTTTTGATATTTCAGAATCATAATTACCAAAAGTATTGGAGAAAACACCTTTATAGATAAATTTTATTTTACTTTTGGTATCTGCTTAAAGTTACTCTAATTTGGGGAGTCAGAAATATAGTTCAGGGGTTAAGGAACTTGACCTGCATGGAGCCAACAGTGGGTTTGATCCTTGGTGGCACATGGTCCCCCAGGGACAGAGCTAGGAGTAGTTGCTGGAAACCATAGAGTATGACTCTGAAACTAAAATAGCTATCAAAAAAATTTTAATATAGCACAGCGGTAGGGCATTTGCCTTGCACGCAGCCAACATGGCCGACCCAAGTTCAATTTCTCCGCCCCTCTCGGAGAGCCCGGCAAGCTACCGAGAGTATCTCACCCACACGGCAGTGCCTGGCAAGCTACCCGTGATGTATTCGATATGCCAAACACAGTAACAACAAAGTCTCCAATGGAGACGTTACTGGGCCCGCTCAAGCAAATCGATGAACAACGGGAGGACAGTGACAGTGACAGTGATTTTAAGTATTAGAAGTTACCTCAGGAAGTTCAAAATACATATTGGCAGAAATGACTGTAATACCTGTAACAATATGGGTCTTGATTGCTTCTGTATACTTTTACAGCAGAAAAGTATAAAATTACTGATCACATTTAATATCAAATTTCTAATGCAAATTCCTCTTGAAATATTGACTAATAATGCTTCTTTTTTGTGAGGAGAATGAGTGTCAAGTTATGATTGCCTGGTAAAAGAAATTGTGCCTTAAACAGTTACCTGGTGTTTCCTCTTCTCTCAGAGAACCATCTGTGACAGAATTGATAGAGGAACAGGAGCAAGACCCACCGTGGCTGACATTACAGTCCAACTGGGAGAGTCTCAGTGGCACTACATTACATGAGCTGTTGGTAAAAGGGTATGGCACTTTTACGAACTCTGTCAATTATGGAGAATCAGTGCCTTCTTTTTAAAATTAAAGAAAATCTAAATTTGTCTCATTAATCAAGGGATTTCTTTGTATGCCTTTTGGTCTATATGTTTCTCCTTGGTTTTCTTTGATTTTTCTTTCTACGTATAAGTTGTTTATACCTCTTGGTTAATTATGGTTTTCTTTAAACAAGTTTCTTGAAACTATCATGGTAAACGATGAGAAAATTAGGTCCTAATCTTTGAGTATTTTCATGCCTGAGTCAAAAGAAATTCTCATGGATTTATGACCTACAAATGCTATGTGACACTAATCAACAGAGGAAAATGAAGTTACGATATGAAAAAGACCTGGGTCTGAGGGGCTGGAGCAATTGTACAGCAGGTAGAACATTTGTCGAGCACGCTACTAACCTGGGTTCAGACCCTTACTGATCTGGGTTCAGTCCCCAGTACCCCATATAGTCACCAAGTCCTACCAGGAGCGATTACTGAGTTTAGTGCCAGGAGTAAGCCCTGAGCACTGCTTGATGTGATCCCAAAACAAAAACCTAAGACTTCTATCTAAGAAAAAATTCTAGTACTACCAGTTATGGCCCAAACACAAACAAAATATAATCTGCTTTCCCTTCTCCCACTGTAGTTTCTAAGAAGCTCCTACTTCCCCTCTTTTCTTTCCCAACTTTGAAAATCAAGATATGACTCAAAGTTCTGAGTGGTAATTGTCTATCAAGATGATGTGAGAAATTTTGTCAACAATAATTTTTCCCCACCCAGGTGAGATATTTGTTATGATGACACTTTTTAAACTAGAAAAAAAATTCTGTATATACTGCCATCCACACGGTGATATCTACCCATGACATGCCATGAGAATTTCTGTACCATGAATGATAGTTACTCAAAAATGCAACATCTAGTAGCAGCTGAACCTGTATTTTGCTTTTCAGTGGTAAAGTGTTTGAAGCAAGTAGTAAATATCTAATCACAGTATACCATCTTGTTTCCAATGTAGGCAGTCCTGTCAAAGCAGAAGAAAGATTTCTCTTCTGTGCACAAAAAAAGGTAAGAGATCTAGTGGTTTAACAATGGGAAATAAACTTTATTTAACTGGATTGTAACTAAATTGCCTCACGAGGAAAGTGACCACATCAAAAAACCAGGTTTTAGCTTCCTGGAGCGGTGGGTCACACACCCACACACCAACTTTCCTGTTCCTTGGTAGACTGTGGGCGCCGCCCTGCTGCCCGGATGAACAAGAGGATTCTTGGGGGTCGGACAAGTCGCCCCGGAAGGTGGCCATGGCAGTGTTCTCTGCAGAGTGACCCCAGTGGACACATTTGTGGCTGTGTCCTCATTGCCAAGAAGTGGGTTCTGACAGTTGCTCACTGCTTTGAGGGGTAAGCTGCCTTTTTTTCCCCCACATTGCCTGGGTCTGGTCAGTTTGTTATTTGGGCACTTTAATGACACATGTCATTTTGCGAAGCTGTGCCAATTCAAAAGTCACAGTAGATTTAAGCAGAATAAAGTTCCAATTTTCTACCCTTGAGATTGCCATCCTATATATGTACTGTCTTTGATGGTTTGCAGACGTGTTTCTTATGATTTCTATCATAAGGACGGAGGAACATGTTTGAATGATTGATTCCCACTAGCATCAGTCTCTTCTCTAGCTCTCTTGAATTGCAACAAATACTTGTGAAGTCATGCAAAGGGGATTTATTTAGGTACTTGTGTGTAGATAGGATGTTGGACAAGTGGGTGAGGACTGAGATTACAATAAAAATGTTAGTCTGTATTCTTCAGAGAAATAGAACACAAGATTTTGCTGGGACCTGCCCCAGGTGAATTGGGTTAAAGCAGAGTCACTGTAAAGTTAGAAAACTGAGGCCTGATGGATAGTACAGTGGGGTAGGGCACTTGCTTGCATTCTGAATTCTACCCCTGGCCTACCATATGATCCCCTGAGCCCTGCCACGTGTGATTCCTGAGCACAGAACTAGGAGTCAACTCTGAGCACTGCCAGTTGCGACCCAAAAGATTTCTAAAAAAAAGAGAGACAGGCAGACAGACAGAGGAGAAGAAAACTTCAATTTCAAGAAAGGGGGTGGGAGGAATATATTCTTCAGTCAGATGCTAATCTATGCTAATACAGCCTGGCTAAACTTTTTACATATCCAAGGGCTTGCTTTGTGGAACAAACATTTTTGGATTTATCTTAATGGCTGCTTCTTCAGGGAGAAAGAAAGGAGAAAAAGCAGTCACTTGACCCTGCCTGGAGCCTTCACAGCTGTCTTTTTTGGTGCCAGAGGCTCAGATTTCAGGGTCCTGCTTCCTGCCCATTCTGTCTTTCTCCTCAACAAACTGCCTTAACCCTTTGTTCCCAAGGAGATTTATTTTAAGGAATCAGTTCATAGGATGGTGGATGCTTGACAAGCTTAAACTCTGGTGGGGCAGCCTAATAGGTTGGGAGGAAGGAAATTTGCAGTTCCAGCCCAGGTGCAGTGTGTGACCAGATTCCTGCTCAAGAGGGTCAGTCTGTTCTCCTGCTTGATGGGACCCAACCACTTTATTGCAGAGAACCACCTTATTCAGAATATACCCATCGAAAGCAATAGCACAGCGGATAGGGCATTTGCCTTGGCTGACCTGGGTTCGATTCCTCCGTCCCTCTCAGAGAGACCCGCAAGCTACCGAGAGTATCCTGCTCGCATGGCAGAGCCTATCAAGCCCCCTGTGGCGTATTCGATATGCCAAAAACAGTAACAGCAAGTCTCACAATGAAGATGTTACTGGTGCCCACTCGAGCAAATCGATGAGCAGCAAAAGGACAGTGCTATAGTGCTACCCTTCGAAAGGTTTCTCTCTCCCAAACCACCTTAAAGAATCATCCAGATGAATGTTGAGCAACTGTTTGAGCATCATGGCACCCGTCACAGCATGTAAAATTCAATCACAATCACAACCATCCTGTTATTCGTCGATTGTCTCGAGCAGGCCCCAGTAACGTCTCCTTCGTCCTAGCCCTGAGATTTTTTTAAAAAGTGCCATATTCAAGGCTCTTTCAGAGTTAGGAGAATGAGACCCTTCATTGTTACTGGTATTTGGCATATTGGGTACACCACGGGGAGTTTGCCAGACTCTGCCGTTTGGGCAGGTTACATTCAGTAGCCTGCCAATTTGTCCAAAGTAGGAATGAGATGATAAGATGTGGCAAATGAGGCTGCGCACTTCCGGGAGCTGGCCGTTGATGGGATTACACGGCGCCAGGGGTCAAGTTGGTGGGTGTGACCCCTGCCTACTGGAATTTGGAGGATCTGGGTGGAGGATGCTCAGCCCCGATCCGAGTAGGCTTGGAGATCTCAGCCCCGGGATCCGCATGCCTTTGTTCCTCTGCCGGTACCTTCATGTGTGCGGAGAGTGGTCTCAGCATGGAGGTGGCTGGTTCTGGAGGTCTTCGGCTGCAGGAGCCCTGGTGGGGGCGGGGAGAAAAACTCAACCCACTCCTCTCCAAGGGGCCCCGGTGAGGACAGCCAGGCGTGTAAAATTAACCATCACATTCTGCTCCCAAAAAGCAGAGAGTAAAGACCCAGAGGTTGCATGTCTCAAATTGGTAGAGAGCGCTCTTCTCTTACGTTTGTTATGTAACTCCGAAGGAAAAAGAAATCAAAAAAGAAAACAAAAACATCCATCAAACACCCAGACCTCAACTATTTATATGCTCACAGAATAACCAGAGGTTAGACAGCCAGACAGGGTGTCTTTCCTTTTATCCTTGTTTAAGACTGTCTGAGGCCCCAGCGGGAAGTTCTAGGACACTTTGAAGCCTGACTATAAATGATGCCTTTTGGCAGATGCCTTTGTTTCTCTGCACAGGGCTGAGTAAGTGGCCGGCCAGCATCGCTAGAGGGCAGCAGGCACTGCCCAAATAAGTAGTTGGGAAGGAGCTAGCTCACTTGATTGTCGGCCAGAAGGAGAACAAAAGGCAAGAACATAGAATCCACAACACCCAAAAGGAGAGAGAGAACAAAAGGGAATGCCCTGCCACAGAGGCAGGGTGGGATGGGGGGTGAGAAGGATACTGGGACCTGTGGTGATAGAAAATGGGTACTGGTGGAGGGATGGGTACTCGATCATTGTATAAGTGAAACCCAAGTACAAAAATTTGTAAGTCTACAACTGTACCTCATAGTGTTTCACTAATAAAATTTTTTAAAAAACAGAATAACATAGATAAAATAATTAAAAAATAAAAATATTATATATATATATATATATGAACATCGAACCCACATTTAAAGAAGGAAACTGACCTTTCTCACTGGAAGAAGTGTCAGAGACTTAAAGCATGTTTTAATAACCACCATCCTCCTCATTTCATTCTATTTATTTTAAAATCATTTTACCTTGCACAAAAGTAACATTAGATAAAAAACAAAAATTTAAAACAACTCGTATCTATCACTTAAGTAAGTTGATTATTTGGATTTGACCAAGTTAATTTCCAGAGGTGCAGTACAGTTTCATTGTTGGGATTTTTTTGTTCAGTTTTTTTTTTTCTATTTGCCATTCACTGTGTAACTGTAACTGTAGGTGTTAACTTTTTTGGACCATGGTAGTTGCATCTGTGAGATGAGGGGAAACCCCAGTCTCTCTCTCCCACTGGTTTGGTGTGAGTATTAAGCAACAGCAGTCTCAGTGATGCCTGATACGAATAAGCAAGTCCTCACTACTCATAACTTTTAAATTATTTAATTTTTTTTCTTTTTTCAGTTTTAGGCCATACCTGGCATTTCTTGGGGCTTATCTCTGACTCTGTGCTCAGGGATCACTCCTGGCAGGCTCAGAGGAAAATATGGAATACCAGGGATTGAATAGAGGTCAGCTACGTGCAAGTCAAGTACCCTATCCGCTAGACTATCTGGTCTTTCAAAATTATATATATATATATATATATATATATATATATATATATTGCAGGGGGGCCAGAGAAAGAGCTCAAGGGCTGAGTGCATGTGCTATGCATGCAAGAGGCCCATATTCAATCCATGTCCTTGAGCATCACTGGGAGAAACTGAGAGCACAGAGACAGGAATGACCTCTAAGAGCTGCCAGATGTATCCCCCAAACCAAACAAAAATTACTGCTGAAAATATATGTTCAATCTTTTCTAGTATCTCCGTGACATGAATATTTCTAAGCACTATCTTTTTCTCCTCCTATGCTCTCCTTTGTAAATTTTCTTGTCATCTTCAAGGTAATTTCTCTTAAAACTTATACATTTCTCCACAGCTCTGAGTCCATTATTATAATAGGGTGGAATCACAGTCCGTACTTGTTTCTGTAGATTGATTTTCTTATGTAAAGTATATACCATAAATATCCAAGTCAATTGAAGTAAATGTAGTTCATTCTTTGTCAAAGCTAAATGATATTCTACAATCTGATTTCCTATAATGTTTTCAATTACTTTTTAGTTGATGGACACTCAAATTGGGTCCAGTTTGCAATGCTTAAAACATATTTTTATATAAGATATTTACTTACTGGTTTTCTTATTTCTATAGGATAGAGTTCCAACATAACAGTTAACATCCTGTAGAGGTTATAGAGAGGAATTGCATTTTTCTTACATGGAGTGTTACATTAGTTAGGAGAGAGACATTTATTCCAATAAATATAACATAATGTAATTATTGATAATAAAATTTGTATGTTAAATTATTCTTATTGCTTTGGGGGGAGAGTAAAATACAAATATCAGTACCTTCTCTTGAATTTTTTTTCTAAGTTTTTGGTTCACAATGCTCAGGGGTTACTCCTGGCCCTTCCTTTTGGGGGTGTTAAGTAGGAAAGCAACTGAGTCTTAAGTCAAGTAAATATTATAGAGGCACAAGAGTAAATATTATTTAGAGCCAACTAACTCCCATGTTACAAAAGCATAAAATCAACTGTCTTCCTATGTCTATACAAAAAGGACATTGTTAAACCAAGCAAGTGACATAAAGGAAAGAGAAAAGCAATATAGGATTATTAGTGCTTGATGGAATTGGGTGTGCCTCGGGGGCACTGTGGTGGGAGTAACTCAATAAATCTAAGTTTCCTGTGGGCGGAGCAAGGACAACCTAATATTATCCAACAAACTTTCACAGGCAATGTAATGTAATAAGCAACGTTCCCATCTTCTTCAGCTTCTGAAAGACTTAAGGATGAAATTTTAGACTGGCAACACACACACACACACACACACACACACACACACACACACAACAAAAAACCCAGCATTAAATGTTAGAAACATTGAATTTTAATCCCTCTCCAGGAATCCTGAATGAAAATCTCTCATTTCTCTAGATGACTACAGTCTCAGCCTTCTCAGCTTATGCAGGTCTTAATTTCT